TTCCCTTGGAGGAGAGGTATTTTCTTGCTTTCCCGTATTTCTTGTGGCCCTGCGGTGATTTCTAGTCATCTCATGGATGGTGTGTTTCTTCCCACAGCTGAAGTTCAATCTGAGAATCCAGGAGTGTGCAGAAAAGGAAACAGAGAGAGAGAAACAACAACAACAAAAACAACCAAGAAACAGAAAACAAGAAGAAAAAACTAAAAAATATATATATATTTTTTTAAAAAGCAAAAATTAGAAAACTGCATGGCACATTCAGGAGCCATGAAGGTATCTTCCTAAATCCTGCTCCCTTGCCTCTCCTGGGTTGGGAGGAGGAGAGGGGATTATTAACAAGATAAAGGGAAGGGAGGGGCTGAAAGCAAAGAAAATGCTTTACCTTTAAAAATTTTAGAAAGGAAAAATTACAAAAAAATAAAATGAGAAGACAGAGACAGAGGTAAAGAGACAGAGACAGTGAGAGACAGGAGACTAAAAGGCCTCTTACCACTCAAGTTTGTGGGCTGGAGGCTGAATTATAAGTGGGAAATCTTCATTTTGCTTATTCCCCTGAAATCACTAGTTCTCAGGAGCCATGAAGGTGTCTTCTTAAGTCCTGCTCCCTTGCCTCTCCACTTGAGTTTGAGGGCTGGAGGCTGAATTATCAGTGGAAAATCTTCATTTCACTTATTCCCCTGAAATCACTATTTCTTAGGAGCCATGAAGGTGTCTTCTCAAACATGAGGATTAGTAATTATCGCCCTTATCATCACTAGTAGTTTGTCTAAAATGTACAAAACATCAAATGTTTGTATGTAAATAGCAATTTCTCTCTCCAACCCTCAGTTTACTCATTTTCTAAAAATAAGTATTTTGGGGAACCAGCAGTTGGCGTAATGGCTATGTCACTGGACTCCCACGTAGTCGACCGCGGTTCGTGTCCCAGACCTGGTGGCTTAAAACTCACGCCGGGCGCGTGTGCGTGTGTGCCCAAGATCCCGAGAGGAGAATGGAGGAGAAGGGATTGCGGCGTGACCATCCCCCCTGGGGGGTGATTTCTCGCTTTCTGTCTCTATGTCTCTCTCTGTCTGTCTGGCGAGCGCACGCGCCCTACAGTGAAAATCTCTCAAAAAAAAAAATAAGTATTTTGGAATAAATTACTAAAATTTCTCTCAGCAACTTTGTTATTCTAAGTGATACTAATGTTTACAAAAGGTTTCTAGCATCTGAACATTCAATAGTTAACAAAATTGGAAACTTCTGTATGCAAAGAATTAAAAGAGAAAGATTATCTAACCTACATCCTGAACAGAAATACTTATGTTTCTCATTATTAAAATTGCCAGCCCACTAGGCCAGACACATGGCTAGTGTTTAAGACAACCGGTTTCCAAAATGCCAACCATGATTTGAATCCTGGCCCTAGCAGCTTGAAAAATATGCCAGGCACATGTCCACGCATGCCCAGAATCCTGATGAGATAGAGAAATAGAGAAGGAGGTGGCATGACCATGCCCCCATTAAAAGTTACTTTCTCCCTCTCCCAGTTTCTCTCTCTAACAAATGCATGTGCCCTCTGGGGGGGGGGAGGAATAAAAAGGGAAGACAAAACACAAATATGTAAGCTCACAATAAAATACTTGTTCAAAACAGAATTGCCTTCCCCACCTTTGATACACATACAATCCTCTAAATGCTAAGAGTCATCTGATAGGGAAAAAAAAAAAAAGATATGATTTGTTCAAGAAGGATAACAGGAGCCATATTAGTATGGAGAAGAAAATACTCTCCAAGCAAAATGTATAGAACTTCCAGGCAGCAGGAAGAGAATCTGCGAGTTCCAGTCCAAGCCATTTTGGAAGCATCACCTTCCATAAGCCAACTCACAGACTTGGAGTGGACCAAGTCCCTTCTCAGGTTTAAGCTCTGCAGTCCTCAACTACCTAGGCAGAGCGCCCTGTGGGAAGATGTTGCTAAGTCAGTCACTGGATACACCCACACTGGTTCTGATTTAGTAGGTCTGGGGAGGAGCCTAGAACCTGCTCTTTAAGGGGACCCCCGATGGTCTTCAACTTACATTAGGATTAATACTAAACACAGCCTTCCTCCACAGCCCATGTGTATCAGCCAGGGAGAAAGAGAGCTTTAGGAAAGGCAACTGCTTTGCAAGCTTCTACCTCAATGGCACAAAAGTGAGCCTGAATCCTAGAGAAGTAGCTTCACTTGCTAAATAAGTCTCTAAATGCCTAAGGGTGGAGTAGCATTGAAAAATCCCAATATTAGGATTTAAAAGAATGTTTAATTTAAGAACACTTTGGAAGCAAAATTTAAGCTTTCTCACAGCTCCTAAAAAGGACTGAAATACTATGCTACTAATTAGTAATTGTGATGGACCCAGCTGTGGAGATTACAATTTGGAGAACTCTTTTAGAGTTGTACAATTAGGGCTGTTCTTTAATACCCTTGTGCATAGAAGCTGCTGGTGCTCTATAATAGCCTTTTTAATTGAACAATGTGCTAGAGTTCTAATTTCTGGTAAAATAAAAGATGCTGAAAATAATTATCTGAAGAAAGAATGTTAGTAAATCTTCAAAAAAAAAAATGGTGTGAATCTGGGCTTTTTAAAATCTTAGAGCTAATTTTCAATTATCCATGAAACTAGAGGTGGCCACATCACTAGGGCTTCTCAGCCCCAGCAATACTAACATGTTGGTCTGAAGAATTCTTTTCTTGGGTGGTGGGAGCTGTCCTGTATGTTGCAGAATGATGAGTAGTATCCTCGGCCTCTGTACCCTAGATGCCAGAGAACAGGGTGGGATTGGGCATGGTCTTTTCCTCCTCCAAATTTACCTATCAGAAAAGTTGGTCTTCTCTCTGGCCCCAGTTATGTCTCCATTCTCCCATAGATGGAATTAAGGGGCAGAGAGAAGGGAGGCCTGTGGAATCACTTTAGTGGAGGCCCTGCCACATGGAAACAGGAGGAGTCTCCCCAGTACACAGAAAACAACAGTGTAGTTTACTGGTAAGAACGAGCACAGACTCTGATATCAGGTAGACCTAGGTTTGAATCCTGCCTTGGCCCCTTAAAGTTGTGTGACCCTGTCAGCAGGGAGCACATGATCTCACCCCCCCTCTTGTCATAAATCAAGAGTGACCTGGGTAGGGGACAGTTGGGGTTACCCAGCTCTGCACTTGACTCAGAGGACAGGTTTTCTCCAGGGCATTATTAGCAGCCCACTTGGCTGCAAGTCTAAGCTGTATTATTCACAGAGCTTGACATTTTGACCCCCATCTACCTAACAGCTGTAATTGGTTCTCATTTTTATTAGAGCCTCCTCAACACCCAGTACTGAATACCATGCCTTGCACATACACATTCACAATAAATATGGCAGAACTAGCTATCACCATCTGTGGTAATCTGACAAAACATGTTCAATTCCCACATAATCCTTTGAGTTTCACTGAGGGATGTAAAACCATGACTAATCCCCAGATTATATCCTCCTCCCTTTCAAACTTCTAAAAAAAATCAGGTCAACTGTTGTGTTCCCTATCTTTAACTACTCTCTCAAGTCCTTGATATCCCCTTAAGGACAAGGGGACTCATTATACTTGGAAAGGTTCAGGGAAATGTTCCATACTCAACTACTGAGAGGTGGCTATTACTATCTCCCCACATGATTCTTTATGAGCTATTGCCTTCCTCTAAGAATAACCACTGCAGGACCAGCAGTTGGAGTAATGGCTATGTCGCTGGACCCTCATGTAGAATACTGTGGTTCAAGTCCCGGACCTGGTGGCTTAAACTCACAATGGGCACGTGTGCGTGTGTGCCCAGGATCCCGAGAGGAGAATGGAGGAGAAGGGATTACAGTGTGGCCATCCCCACGCCCCCCCCCCCGGGGGGGGGGGTGATTTCTCTCTTTCTGTCTCTGTTTCTCTCTCTCTTTCTGGCAAGCACACACACCCTATAGCAAAAACCTCTCAAAAAAAAAAAAAAAAGGAAGAAATGAAGAATAACACTGCATTTTTTTCCACTACATTCTCCCATTCAAAATGTTAAAAAGAAAAAAAAAGAACAAAGTACTGAAACATACCAATTTTCCCAATGAGATTATTTTGAAGATAGAGAATTTTTAAATCCCGGCACCATTGGTCAATATGTTCTAGTCTTTCTATTTCTTGCTGATGCAAGGAGAGTTCCTCCAGGGAAAAAATTACACAGTCATTGTGTTCGGCATTCCGCCTAATAAGATCTTCTGTGACTGAAAGAAAATGTGTTACATATTACACTTCCACCCCTATTGTTCAGGTTATTATGTTATTAATGCATTGGTTTTCCTTTGCAGTTAATACCAATTCTCCAGGCCCAACTGATTTTCAAAAGGAGAGAGATCAGAAAAATGCTGCCTCCTGCCAGAGTTTTGCTGGTGCCATGATGTGAGCCACCAGAAAGGAAGCTATATATTAATGATCTCTTATGTCTTATTTCTCTTTATATATGTGGTCGACCTACATTTTGCCATATAGATAGAGACAGAGTTGACAGTTAATGGCCATAAGAATGTTGATATGGAATCTTAAGGTGGTACCATGTCACACTAGATGAGATCCTCTAAGGATCTATGACAGAACAAATTGAGAGGCACAGCAGAGCAGACAAAGAGAGAGACAGGGAGACACAGAGAGAGAGAAAGGGAGAGAAAGGGAGAAAGCACCCCTACCACCACCATGGAGAATGGTCATGCTGCAGTCTCTACTCCATTTCTCCATCCTGTAGGGATTTGGGGCATGCATTCACACACACCCAACTAGAACTGGTATTCAAACCAGGATTCATCCATGTAGGATCTGGCTCCCTTAACCACTATGTTGCAAGGCAGGCCCATTTAACAAGTTACTAATGCAACTAAAGCTTAAGAGATAGGAAAAGAATACCCCCAGATCTTCCACTGCAATCTTATAAAGCAGCTACCACTTGTTCTGTTTCCAGGAGGAATAATAATAATAATAAAGCTGCTCACAGGAAGAGGAGTAATGGGCACATTCTTCCAGTCCTCCCAACCCCCAATCACAAGAGTGAGATGTAGCACTGGCTTTGCCTGACACAAAAGACCAGCAGTATGTGATGACAATGGTACCAGGAGACTGGACACAATGCCATAGTCCATGTTTAAAGTCAAGGGCAAGATCATAAATCATCTCCATAAGATGCAGTGAATTCAGAGGTAATGACAATGGAGAAGCAATGCATTTTCCTGGTGCGACTGAAAAAGTTAATAATATAGCTGAATCCTCACATTTTAGGTAGAATGTGGAAATACTTCATGTCAACCCAGGAGATAATAGAGACATCTGTATTGTTACTTACAAGGTGCTGGATATTATTCTAAGTGCTTTGCACGTGTCAATGTATGAATATGTAGAGTTGTTATCTACATTTGGCAGATGAACGAAATTAAAGCACAGACTTTAAATAACTTGCCCAGGCCTTAGAGTAAGGTTTTAAATGTACAGTGCATCACCAAACCATGCTCTCTTAACCACTATACTACACTGTCAAACATGAGCAAGTAAGAGCCTCTTGAGATTTCTCAGGCTTCTTGACTATGCAGACTCCTCTAGCTGAGACAAAGCCCCTCCCAGCACCCTATGCCATGTCCTTAAAAAGTGGAACTTGCCCTTTTTTTAATTATAAAAACATTATGACCTCAATCATTTGTGTGCAGGTAGCTATATTCTGTGCTCCTTACAGTGCTTGGAGATGACAGTTCCCACACTCAGAGTATCCAAGGAGCAGCTTGCCAGAGATATGGGTGGCTTGGATGTGTCAGCTGGAGAGTCCACCCTCATTTATAGACAGGACAGGATAGGATAGAGCCAAGGATGGGAGGAGAAGAGAGGGGTGGGCCTGGGAAGCAGCTCTCCTCAAGTCACCATGCTCTGACATAGAACTCTAAGCGGTCTGGGAAACCTTTATTAAACAGAGCCCTCTGGACGGTTATGAAGATGTTCTTGTCAAAGAAGGACGATATATTAGCAGTTTGATTTATAACGTGATACATGGGCCTCTACTTATATTCTTGGCCCAGATCCTGGTTGAAAGTTTAGTGTGGTATTCATATTAAAGCTATAACCTAACTTAAATCCCATGGAAGCTGTCATCGATGGTTAAGTTAAATGTGTTCAGGGGTATTCTGCATCTCAAATAGTAACTGGTCTCTGGCCTCCTGTAGCTACATGAGCAACTGTGCAGCCCACATGGGAGCTTTTTGGGCATTGGGGCCACTAAAGGTGTGGCAGGCTTCTCCAGCTCTCTAGTCTTAAAGGTTTTTCCAAGAAGACTTACAGGGCTGACACAATGCCTGCTTTAACCCAATATCCTTCCTGTATTCTCTTTCTACACCTCTAAAAATTTAAGACATTCTTTTCAGCATGCTATTATGCATGTAAAAGTTGATCATTTGCATGAAATTATCAAGTCTTCCTTTTTAGAGGCATGTAGATATTAGGAAAGAATTATGTTGATTTAACTAGGAGAATTAAGATGATATGAATCACTTTTAGTTTGAAGGGGGTAGGGTGAGAAACTTCCCTTATCGTGAATATCTACACACACACACACACACACACACACACACACACACACAGATGACAGAGAGAGAGAGAGAGAGAGAGAGAGAGAAGCACAACAGCTCATTCAGCACTACAGGGAAGTTTGCCCAAAAGCGAAAATTATACACAGAGTAGATTAAAAGAAAATAAAGAATCACAGAGGAAGGTAGAACTGTGAAGATCCGGAATTTCCCAATGGCCTTTTCTGAACTCTTCTATAATAAGCAAACTGCTGTGTGGCATACTGTTTTAGAGCATGCAGGAAATTGTTGTTATACAATACTGCTTCACCTGGAATAGCAAACATTAGTACAAAAGCCAGGGTCCCCAAGAAGAACTGTGTAAGAACATCTACATGGTGCAAGAAGATTACAGTGTTTTATGCTTTGAAATGGGAAAGTATTTTGCAGTTTATACATACTCTAATTTAGACACAACATTCTTTAACTCCAAGGGGCATTGTTCAATGTTAGAAATTCCTACTCCAAATAATACAGAACTGCCCTTATGTGAGATCATTCTGGGGATTTAAAAATGCTTTTTAAACAGTAATAAATCATCATAAGTCTATTATATGTTAGTACAATATCTATTATATGAGAGATGGTATTTTAATACCTATTACATAGTACAAGAACACAACACGCCAAGGTACTATATGTAACATACTGCTTTTACTTTCTTAGTTTATAAAATTTCAGATAGCAAAGTACAAGATTCAAGTGGATTGTGAGAAGTGTCAGACTCATAGGAAGTGCTAACCAGCATTGGCATGACTGGAGGAATGAGCGGTTGACGAAGGACACTGACAACTTTAACTGTAGTTACATACTATCTCATTTGGCTTGCCTCATGGCCTAATGATTAAAGAAGTCTGATCCCACATTGAGGTTTCTCACTCTGAGGTTTCAATCCCAGTCCTGACAGCTTGAAAAACATGCTGGAGATATGTACTTGCATGACCGGAATCCTAATGGGATGGAGAAATGGAGGAGAAGGTATTGAATACATCTGCTACTAAAAGAGGTTACTGAGGAATCCAAAGGTTAATCAAAACTCATCAGCCATCCAAGGCTTCTTTTCTTTAATATGACTGAGTTCTCTACAATGTGAGGAAGTATCAGTAAAATGATTTTGTGGGGACAGAGGGCAAAGGGCAGAAGGAAAATGTTTCTGGGATGTTAGAGGTCGCTTGGTGTATTAGCTTCTACAAAGATTTTCAGCGTATTGAGCAAAGTTCTAGAAACTCTAAAGGCCAATGATTTAGTGTTCATTCCTTTAGGCTTTATATCTTGTCTTGTAAACAGCCATAAAATCAATCAATAAATGTTTATAGCAGATTTTGCAAAAGTTTTAAATACCTTGAAAGACCTAGAAGATATATACATGAAATAGAAATTTAGTAGAAATGAAGGGGGGCAGCTGTGTTGTACTATAGTTAGGTGCTGTGCAAAGGAAGTCAGATCCCATGTGGCTGGCCAGGGTTTGAGTCCTAGCCCAGTATGAATGAAAAACATACCAGCCACATGTATGTGCCCAGGATCCTGACAGAAGTGAGAATGGGAGGAAAAAGGGCTGGGGCATGTCCAGGCCATATGGAGAAGTTCTAGCTCTCTCTTTCTCTTTCTCTCTCTCTGTCTCTCTCTCTGTCTCCCTCTGGCATAAAAAAAATGCGTAATAGAAATGAAGAGGTTACATATAGGTGAAGGTTACTTTTTATTGTATCTAAAACTTTTTTTTTTCTTTGATCATTTTCTATGGCAACTTTGAAAACGGGATTACCCATTCGTCTCGCCTTTTCTTACTGACTCAGTAAGAAAATCCTCATGGGGTGGAGAATTGGAGGAGAAGGGATTGTATTCATATATCATAGTGAGCCTCCAGAGCTGCACTGTGCCCCATGCATTAGTCCCTTTAGGACGACTGACAGACTGTGTGCTATTCAAAATCACCCATAAGAAGTCCAAAGTCCAAGAGGGTGTGATCAGTTCTATTGAGAGGAAAGAGGTCAGAAGGGGCTGCAGGGAGAAAACTGAGCTGAATCTTGATAGCTGTTGGCCAGAAAAACCAATGAGGAAATGGCACCCCTGGGAGGTGGATGATAGGACATCCCCCAGTTCCCTCTTCAAACTGAAGGATTCATTCCTCTAGGCAGGAAGCAGGCAGCCCTCAGCCACCTCCTTGAATTGCCTTAGCTGATGGGAAACCTCCACCAAGCACGCCCTTGCCTGGGAGAGCCCATATCCCGTGACTGTTGAAGTGGAGCTGGGAAGGCGGGATCCCTCAGCCAGACAAGTCAGAAGATCCATTCCAAGGGTGGCGCTCCTGGCCTTAGTCAGCTGAGAACATTGCTAAGAGGTATCCGCAGCCCACTCTCCCCCTCGGCCCAATCTTGCTTTCTTGCTCAGCCGCCCGGATTGCAGGCACAGGAGTGCAGTGTCGACACGCTTGGTGGTCCCAGGACTGGACCCTAGGCCCTTCCCAGGAGAGTGCGGGGGCATTAGCACTGCGCCGCCACCTGGTCCTTCTGGGTAGGTTTTTAAGCCCTGTCTGTAAAACGCTGCTGTTATTGCCGTTATTTGGGGGCTGGGAGTAGGGGTTGGGGGACGTCACTGACTCAAGGTCACAAAGCTCCCAGGTAGAAGCAGGGAATTTAAACGCTGACTCTGAGTTCGTACCCTCAACCACCAGGCTCCACCGTCTTCCCGAGAGTCCGAAGGCGGCGGCTCCAAGGCACGGAGCAGACCAGGGCCGCGCAGCGTGGCGAGGAGCAGGCAGGAGCCTGACGTGCGGGAAGCCCTTCGCCCTCCTCGGCAGGTCTGAGCCCGGGTTCTCCGGCTTCTGCATCCCGCCCGCCTTACGGACGAGGAGCCTGAGCCTCGGAAAGGCCCGCTGCCCGGCCAGTCCGCGGGTTCCCGGCAGGGGCTGCAGGGGACGAGAACGCAGGGCTGGGCCGGGGTGCGCGGGCGGAAAGGAAGGGCAGCGTGGTCTGGGCTGGCGGCCTGAGACCCGGGGACCCGGAACGCGCCCGCGAGGGGACAATCCAGGGGGGGAGGAAGTGGGAGGGGGCGCTTACTGCGGCCCATGGCGGTTCTCCGGTTCGCTGGGCCGGGAAGCCGGAACAGGACCCCAAAGACTCCCTTCACCCTTCACAGGCACTTCTCTGCGCGTCTGCTACGAGTTTCGGAGCCATGGCAACAGGGGCTCTACGGCGGCCGCGCTGGGTCAGGAGGCGTCGGGTTTTCTGCGCTCCAAGAAGAGCGAGCAGAAAGGACCTGGTGGTGGGGCCCCGAGAGCAGACTGCTCCCCCTAACCCCAGACCCAGTCCTTCACGTTCCCACCTCCTCCCGCAGACTGCCTCCTTCCTCCTTCTTCCCAGACTAGTTGTCCAGGCTGAACAAACAATCCCAGGGCTGTTCCTACACGTCTTCTAGGCGCGCTGAGAAGTGGGGCTGCTACTCATTTTCTCTTTGCATTTTATTTAATGCTTCCAGAGCCAGGAGATCGGATTTCGTGCCCTCCCCCTATTTTTTAGATTTCATTTATTTTATTTTAGATTTTGCCGTCACTCCCCAGGAGGGATGGTGACACCCCAATCCCTTCCCTTCTGGGGATTTTGTGCACGCACACAGCCATTGAGTTTCAAGCCGCTGAGTCTGGGTCTCAGACCTCAGTCAGCCCTGTGGAGTCCAGTGCCACACCACACCACCACCTTGTTTACTAGGAATGTGACCTTACACTTCTTGAGCCTCCAGTTCCTCATCTGTAAGATGAGGAAGAATAATAACCTCATAGGAGCATTGTTAAGCTTTAATGAGATCCTTTGAATAAATGGCAAACACTTTTTATTATGAAAACAACAGGCTCATTATAAAGGCTAGTTGTCATTGTTCTGTATCATACCTATAGAGTCACCACCCAACAGCAGTCAATTTCTGGCCAAGTTTTCTAAATACAACACACCCATCATACCTCATCTACTTTCTCTACCCACCATTCTCTTCATTGTGAAGTATGGAAGTGTATCTGTCTCCCTACAGCCCCCACCTCTCCCCTGTATTTTAGCCTCTCTCCACAAGGGGCCAACCACCTCACTCCAGTCCTAGACCAGGAGGGACATAGTTCATTCACACTCAACTGTTCAGATGTCAGCACTTAATAATGCACCACACCTCCCAAGAATTTTAAAGCATTACTGTTGATACAAAAATGATTGCTCTCTACCACATTTAAAAAGGTATAGTATGTACCTTCTCCCACCTCAGTCCAGTAGAGTGCATGCTTCTAATCTTGATAGGTTTATTATTGCCACGTTTGCCTTTAAAATAAAGATTCATAGAGCAATGCTGAGTGCAAAGAAATTCATTCTTCCAGCAGATCACTGCTAAGTGTTTGCCACTGGCAGTTATCAGGGTTTGCCAGGTGGGGAAAAGGGCGTGAACCTGGGCAGAGAAGCAGGATAGAGTGAAGGAGGGGCAGGGGAAGCTAATCAGTTTGGCAGTTTCTCTCTCAGGAAAGAACTGCATAAGGGAATTCTGAACAGTCAGCCTGAGAGACTAGATCAAGGGTAATGGAGGACTTGAGTGCCAGGCCAAACAAACTGACCTGGAATGGTGGGATTCCCAGCACTATGTCCCCACAGTGCAAGCACTATTTGGAGACCAAGAGACTCTGAGGGCACTCAAACTATAAACATAGGTGACATTCGCTCCTTCCCCGAAAGTCTGGTTCTCATCATTTTCCTATTTTCTGAAAGGACAGTGTGAAGAGTGTGAACTTTGGCTTTGGAAACATGGTTCAAACCTGCAAATTTATTACTGTGTGACATTGGAGAGGTAACTCTACCTTCAAGAGCTGCAATTTCTCATTTTCACATGATGGTGACAATATGGACAAACATCGATGGCTGTGCTGCTGAGAGACTTAAGCAATAGTGTCCGATTCTTTACACAGAGATGAAATGCTATGGGCAGTGAACCACTTCAGTAGGTATTTCTGTCCTTGCCATAAAGGCTCATCAAGGCTGTAAAGGATCTAGCTTTTGGTAGGAAGCTAATACCATGGAATATTCTAGGTAGAAAGGTTAGTTTCTAAGCTGATAGAGGCATGAGATCAGGTCCAATAACAAAGGTCTCAGCTTCTGGGTCAGAAGACACAGAGAAAGGTGGTCAGAACTCTAGAAATTTCTCAAGAGCAATCACACCCCAGGTGTCTGTTTTATTGTTTCCAATCCCAATTCTTGAATCTAATCACTTGAACTTTCAACCTCACCATGAAACTAGTTGCCAAAGGGGCTTGAATTTTCCTGTGAAATTTAAAATCTGTGGAACTGAAATCCTTTTTCATTCATGTATAAGCAAACAAACAATGGAGCTGTCTTGCTATTGGGTAACAATCTCTAAGTTGTTTAAACACTGTGTTCAACACTGCCCATGTGCTTTGAAAGTGTTAACTTAGTTAATTCTCACAGCAGCCCTTGGAGATAATAGGTCATGATATTATCTACATATCACAGATTAGAATACAGGCCTGGTGAGATTTTGTGCCCAAACACACACTATATACTGAATTATTTTCTAGACTGAGAGCTATTTAAGGGCAGTGAAAGAGCCTCTCTTCGTGTTTTTCCATCTCTGAATCCTGGCTTTCAACAAAACTCTTGAGATTGATTTGACACCCAATAAGCATTTGTTGAGCAACAAATGAATGAGTCAGTGAGTCAATCTCTCCAAGAGCTTGGTTTTCCCAGATGGAAAGACCACATCTTATGACTTACGCAAGATCGCCACAGAGGTGTCCATGTTGTTAGATGGTCTATCAGACTACCCAGGAAGAATGTTCCCTTCTTCCTAGTCTTGGGGTCTTTCCACTAAAATCTAGGATAAGAGTTTGTTCCAGCTCTCAAGTTTACTTGGAACTGTCATATTGTGATTTATTTTCCAATAAATCACAGAGGCAGGGTCCTGACAGATTGTCCTACCACTCTAGCAGAGCAGGGGGAAACCTTGGATGATGAATAAAGGAAACCAGGAATATATACTTCATGGTATACCATGGGCCAGATTGGGCTGTTTATATAGCGCCTTTCCTCAACTCAACAGCACAGCCACTGCGGCTTTTAGAAACAGAAGACCATGGGGTATGAAGGAGAAGAGCACAATGTGCTGGGAGTGTTATAGTCCACCGACAGGAAGGAAAATGGGGAAATAAATCACAGTGTGACAGCTCCGAGTGAATTCAAGTTCATTTCACTCAAAGTGAATGAGCTAGATTAAAGAGGCCTGGTGTGTGTCTGTTTATGCAAATTGTTATTCCAAATAGACTTGTTTCTTTGGCTCCTGGAAATATGTCAAGATGAGCTGTGCTTCCTGAGAAAACTGCTACAATATTGTGTGTATATAAGTAGAAGAAATAAATCTCAAAGATTTTATTTTAAATTCTAGTAACAGCAAAGTTGTCCTCCTACTTCTTTTGCACTGGATAAATTCCAGGGACATTGACCTAGAAATTTTTTGTTCTTTTTATTTTCATCGTTACATATAATTTAGTATTTTTATGATGCATAACCAATACTGGGGCTACAATTCAGTTGTACTTTGCATTTGGTTTCCTTTGGAAGAGTTTCTTCATTGCAATTTTATGACAAACCAAGCTCCCAAATTTACTGGCACCTCTACAATTTCAATTCTGTCCTCCTGTCCTCTCATTTTGCTCCATCCCTCCCTAACTCCTCTCCCTTCCTTGCTCCTCCCTTCCTTCTTTCCTTCAGCAATATCTATTGAGTGTTTTCCATATACCAAGCACTGTGAGGAGAAATCAGTATAATAGAGGCAAAGCCCTTAGAGGGGTACTTGGAGTGTACACAGGAAGCACTGTGTTTTAACTACTCATTTTTTGAAAACTAATCTTTATAGATGGCGTCCTAGTTCATTTACGTTGCTGTAACAGAATACCTGAGACTGAGTGATTTATCAAGAAAAGAGATGTATGTGGCTCATGATTCTGGTGCTGGAAAGTCAAAAGCATGGTGCTGGCATGTCTCAGCTCTGGTGAGAGCCATGTACTGTTTTACCCCATGGCGGAAAACACAGCAGGCAGGTGACTTCCTGTATGACAATCCACTTTGGCTGGAACCAGTTGGGGAGAATGCCTTACTTCCTCCCTCAGATGATTTTAATCCATGATTGAGCAAATAGCCCTAGTCCTAGACACCTCCCATTAACTCCCACCTCCCAGCACTGCCCCACTGGGTGTTGAGTTTCAACAAGAGTATTGATGGAGGCACTCAAACCATAGTAGATGTTGACCTTAAAATTGAGTACACTATTACTCTCACTTTATAGGTAAAAAAATCTCCTTTGACTAACCCAGTGATAAAAGTCTGAGAAAATCAGACAGCTCTTTTGTTTGCTTCAGGGATTTGGGGAGGGCAGCATTATTTAGGTTCATCTGTTGCATACATCTGAGGAGTGATGTCTTCCATTCGGCAGACTGAAGATAGGAAAGAGAAGGCAGAACAGGACAATGAATTATCTTTGGTGCTTCCTTGACCCATATCTATGGATATTAATTTGTATTATTTGGGTGATTTATTCAAATACCCCAAACTTCCGACATTCCAGTAATCAAATGGAAGTACAAAAACACATCTCAAAATCAAGTATAAAATAATTTTTAAATTGTTATCTCATTGTGCTTGTCCAAACTTCTCCCATCTCCATTAGTTTAATAAAGGCAAAACTTGATGTTTTAGGAAGGACTTTTACTAATTTGAATAAACTCAGAGGAGAGTAACAAAGAATAACTAGTTCACCGTTGAGGACTCAAGTACAGGGGCCTTCAGCAAGTGATTTTACTTCATTGCATCTCCATTTCCTCATCTGTAAAATGGGAAAAATTAAAGTTCTTACTAGATTTTAAAAACGTAAAAAGATTTTAAACCTTAACAAGGTTTAAAAGAGAGGGTGTGTGACATGTCTGTCCATAAGCTGTGCTCAACTCGTCTCAGTTTGAGATGGGAAGATTTTAGAACATGGCTACAAATACTTTCACTTCCTTCCCAATTTGAATGATGGTACACGTTCCTCTTTCCTTGAATCTGAATGTGCTTCCAATCACTTTGATCAACAGAGTACAAGGAATAAACACAACATGACTCCCAAAGCTAGTTCATGATAAACGTTGAATCCCTGAGCCACTGAGAAGTCTGACTGCCCTGAGGCAAATGATATTGGAGAAGTCAACTCTAGATGTCCCCACAACCCTAGTCTTCCAGCCCACCTTGCCCAGACACTAGACACATGATTGATTCTGTCTTTAAGCTCTAAACTAGTCTAACCCATCTCTGAATATGTCTGAAAGACTGACCTCAAGCAATGCCACATGCAACAGAAGAATCCCATCCATTCAGGACTCCGTGGAAAGGTAATGCCTCATTTGGGCAGAAAACTGGTTCCGGTGGTTTCCAGACTTTCTGTAGTTTAAGTCTTCTGTCCAAATGTTAATGCATAAGACACATAGAAGAAAATCTTTTCAGGACGTAGCAGGTGTCAATGACTTTACGCACCAGCATGCAGGGAACTGAGACAATCGAAGCAATGATTTATCCATGGAGACCTGGAAAAAGGATAGCCTTTGATTTGGTTTGGTGTTGAAGGTAGAACACATGGGCCAGCTTGTGGGAAACTCCACAGAAGGCCTTGAAGCACTGAACTGCAGTCTCTTTGGCTGCCTCTAGGTCTACTGAGGCCATCCTCTACATGTCCAGATCACCCCTCATCTGTGTCTTTAGTAGCCTTTTCAGCTCCAAATTCTGTAATATAGATGCTCTTTCCACTTAATGAAGCCAACAATTTTCACCTGAAAAATAGAACAGCATAAATTATGGCAGTGCATATTAATTGCCATTGGTTAACTGTAAACCCTTATTGTCAGAGCAGCTTATTACATTTCATTTTTAAATTATTTATTTTATTTTATTTATTATTATTTTAAGTTTACTATAGAGCATGTGTGCTCACCAGAGAGAGAGGGGAAGTGAGAAAACAAGTCGCCAGGTCCAGGATTCAAACCACGGCGGGCTATGTGGGAGTCTAGCACCTCAACCACCACACCACCTACTGGCTCCATTACATTTTGTTTAAGTAACCCCTCCATCACATCCCATAACATCCCAGGTGAAAAGCTCAGACAGTTAATCATAGCCCTAAAGAACACAATCTTACCAATGGCAAGTCCAAAATGCACCCAGAGTCCAGGGGATAGAATAAAATGTTTCAATTCCTATCAGGTCTGTCTCTCTGGAATGGGACTTGGCTTACCCTCTTGCTTTCTTATCCCCTGACTGACTTCCTTACTGCCTCTCAGTCCAGCCTTCTCCACTGCCTCCCAGCTTCTTCCTGTCAGTGCCCTGAGAGGGTTAGACATGCCTAGCCTCAGTGGGAAGCAACTAGGTTTTCAGATTCTTCTGAGGAGAGAATGTCCAACACAAAATGGAATCTTGGTCATCCCTACAGTGCTACTTTTTCATTTTTTCTTCTCCTCTCCTCTTTCTTTGTTATTTGTTTTCACCATAGGGCTGTAGAGAGACAGAGAGAGACAAAGAGAGGGAAAATGAGAAATCATTCCTCCTCCCCCTCATGGGGGGAGGGGGATAGCCATGCCACAATCCCTTCTCCTCCAGCCTCCTTTTGGGATTTTGGGCACTCATGTACTTGTGCCTGGTGTAAATTTTTTCTTTTCTTTTCTTTTCTTTCTTTTTTTTTTTTTTTTTAAGGGTTTTTCTCTATGGTGCAGGTCCAGGACTCAAGCTGTGGTCAGCCCTTTTTTTTTTTTTTTTTTTTGAGAGGTTTTCACTATAGGGTGCATGTGCTCGCCAGACAGACAGAGAGAGACAGAAAGACAGAAAGCGAGAAATCACCCCCCAGGGGGGATGGCCACACCACCATCCCTTCTCCTCCATTCTCCTCTCGGGATCTTGGGCAAACACGCACACGAGCCCGGTGTGAGTTTAAGCCACCGGGTCCGGGACTGGAACTGTAGTCGACTACGTGGGAATCCAGTGACATAGCCATTATGCTAACCGCTGGTCCCGTGCCCGGTGTAAATTTTAAGCAACCAGGTATGGGGCTAGAACTGCAGTCAGCTATATAGGAGTCCAGCACCTTAAGCACTATACCATCAGCTGGCCCCACAGTGCTACTTTTGAAGTGGACATTTGTCACATTTTGGAGCATGATTCTCCTTGGGTTTCACTGTAGAAAAATTCTGAGTGCTAATTTCCTGCTGGAGAAAAGATAAAGCTACCCTACTATTTTACCAGACACTAGATATTACCTGCTAGGAGCTGAGCACGAAAGCAAGAACTTCCCTTTGGTTGAGGCCAAATTCTTTACTACACACCTACTCAGATTCCCACCATTTATGTGAGCTCTCTAATAGTCTTCCAGTCCTTTGGATTCTGTTGCCAGGATCAGTTTTTGTTGCTGGAAATGAGGAGCCCTAACTGAACTAACTTTGATGCCTTAAGATGATCCAGATACCCTTGCCATGAGGGGGTAGAAAGCAAGAACCACAGCGTGAAGGCACTGAAGAATTCAGTCTTGCCCTGTTCCCATGCAAAGTCTCTGTCATCAGCACTTGCTACCACAGCTGCTGTTAGTGTGAGAAAGGGGTGTCTAAGGTTTTTCTTATTTGTTTGTTTGCTTCACATTAAGCCTTTATGGAGCCAGCAGGAGGCATAGTGGTTTAGGTACTGGGCTCCCACATGGCTGACTGCAATTTGAGTTCTGGACTTGGTGGCTTGAAAATCATCCCAGGCGCCTGTGTGTACATGTCCAAAATCCCAGGAGGAGAGTGGGGCAGAAGGGATTGTGGCATGGCCATCTTCCCTGGGAAGTGATTTTTCACTTTTCTTCTCACATCTCTATCTCTCTCTGGAGAGCTCCCTATGACCAAGAAAAAAAATAATGAGTTTAGCACCAAAGTCATCTTCAGACATTTCTTTCCTTTTTTGAGAGATATTTTGCTATAGGGCACATGCATTTGCCAGAGAGACAGAAAGTGAGAAATCATCCCCCAGGAAGATGGACACACCACAGTCCCTTCTCTCCCATTATCCTTTTGGGATTTGGGGCATGCATGCACATGTATCTGATTTGAGTGTCAAGTCTCCAGGTCTGGAACTCAAACCACAGTCAGCCACATGAGAGTCCAGTGGCATAACCATTATGCCATTCAGTAGTCCCTGACATTTATTTCTTAATGGGCAAGTGGTGTCAGGTGTTGAGGCTTAAAAAAGAGAGAGAACAAAACAAAACAAAACAAAACAAACAAGTTATCCACTAATTTAATTTTCTCAGAGAACCAAGCAAATAATTGTTTTATTCAAGCTTAGTATTAAGACCCCTGCATCTGGCTCATAGGAACCTGGTATCAGACAGTTACTATTTGAGAACCATGGAGTTGTACTAACTCTGGATAGGGACATGAGTAAATGCAATCCACAAACGTGAAACTATATCTCCAAAGACATTAAGCCTTTTTAATATAATCTACAAGGATAAACTTGAAATGAGGCCCCTGGGGAAATTGCAAGCAACTGCCAATTTTGTTAATGATAATAAGTTTATTTTAATTGCTAATATATTCCTAATTACTCTAGTTCTAAAATGTTTACTTCACTGTCAGTCATCTTCTTTGATTTATGCCTTTGTGAAAAGACTTTGTCATATCAATCAACCCTTCTCAAATTTAGTGGCAGCTACCGAAAATGATCTCACCTTCCTTGTCACACAGCTCACCATTTGCCCAAAAGCAGAGAGAGACCTTACCCACAAAATCTTCACAGTTGAATCTTCACATTTTCCAGCTAACACAGAAGTCATATTTTCAAGGCTTTGGATATTTTGTAGAAGAGAACTGGCAGTGTCTATTTGGAACTTTATTTTTGATCTACTTTTCCACCTGCCCTGAATGTGTCTGTGTGTATATATCTAAATAATTTTGTGTTTTAAGAGCATGAGATTTCATTAGTGTAAAAGTCCCTAATTTCAGTGGCTTAAGGTCCACATCAATTCATTTATTAATTTTTTTTTTCAGCAAACAATATAGAGCCCTTGGAGCTGGGGATTGAGTGGTGACCATGACTGAAAACATTTCAACTGCAGAAATCAACTCTAGGTATCCTCCCCTGCCCACAAGCCACTTCTATACTCTTGGGAGTAAGAAGGAGCATGGCAATAAATGCAGAAATAAATAAAACTACATAGGAAGATTATGATATAGGCTGTGCAAGAAAAGAAGGTGACAGAATTAGAATGAATTCTACTTGGTGTAGACAGTAGATCATCAACTGTCTTCTCTGAAGAGGTGACACTGGGGTGAGACCTGAGAAGGAGAAAGAAACAGTTTCATGAAAATTAAAAGGAGATTTACACCCCCTAAAGATAGAGAAATGCGAAAGCTCTCAGACTCAAGAGAGTTTGCAAGAAAGGGGGACCAGCATGGCAGATGGGGCAGGTGAGCAAGGAGGAAAGACAAATAGTCATGGCATAAAGAGACGGGTATACTTCCAAAGGTGGTGGGAAACCTCCAGTACGTGGTATGGAGATGTGTTCTGACTCATTTCTCTAAAAGGTGGTTTTGGCCACAGTGTGGGAAATGGATCATGACAGGATAGGGGGCTGAAGGCAGCAAGACTAGGAGTGGCAAGAGCAATGAGGCAGCTTCTGCAGCAGATTACAGAGCAGATTCTGAGTCTGTTGGACTAGAGAGAGGGCTGTGGTGATGGAGAGATGTGGGTATGTTCAGGACAATTGGGGGAAGTGACCCTGGAGCTCACTAGAGAGCAAGGAGAGAGATCAGTGCTCTTGGTTTCTTGACAACTGTTGTTTCCTGACCTGGAGAAGATGAACGGGGAGGAATGGAGGAAGAATGGACTTGAGGGTATGTGAAATCGAGACAGTGGACACATGAAGTTTTCCATGCTACCTCTGTCCTCCTATTGGGTCCTGTGTTGCTATTCTTATATAGCACTGGCCACATTTGACTTACTAATTATCCAGTCACCAGTCTGTCTCTCCTGAACTGTGAACTTCATGAGGATGGAAGCTATATCATTTCCATCTTTGCTTCTCCAATCCTTATCATAATGTCTCAGTCACAGAAGATACTCAATAAATCAAGGAATATTTGCTGAATGAGAAATTAAACAAAATAATACTAGGGCGCAACCACAGTGGTGCAAGCAGTAGGGCACTGCTATGTGAGGTTAGGGACACATGGGAGACCTGGATTTGGTCCAATCTAAACAGCCTGGGGACTGTATGGTGCACCTGTAATCCTAACTAACTAGGAGGGTGGAGCAAGAGGATCATGGCTTGGCAAGAGTATCTCAAAGTTGTTTATCTTGTGGTCTAGCAGATGACATAGTGGTTAAGACACTGGATTCCCACATGACCAACCTTGGTTCGAGTCCTGGACCAGTTGGCTTGAAAATCATGCTGGGTGCCTGTGTGCATATGCCCAAGATCCCAGGAGGAGAATGGAGAAGGGATTGCAGTGTGATCATCGGTTATATATATATATATATATCACTTTCTCTTTTAAAAATAAAAACCAATATTTGGCATTTACTCCCAGTTCTAGATTGTCACGAAGTAGAGGCTGAGGAGAGAAAACTTATAAATAGCATCAAGAATAACAAACGGACAATATATTAAGACTTTGGCTATAGATATTTACTTAGGTATTTCTATTTAGTGCTTGCCTACATAGACCAAATACCAGAATAGAAATCATTCATTCAATGCACTCACTCAACCAACAGTTTACGAGCTGCTTCCAAGCACTTGGATGTATCAATGAGTCACACAAAGATTGTTGCCTGTCAGGGGCTCACAGTCTCACCATGTAGCAGAGTGATGGTGTCTCCAGTACTCTACTGTAACCAGTGAGTCTTTTCCTTCTCATCTCTCAATGATGTCAGGGTGCCTGCCTTTCCAGAGCTGGGGCTATCTCATTTCATCTCTTTAAACAGGCGACTGATCCAGGTCCTGCAGTCTGTAGGTAGGTAGGTCCGCACTTAAGTGAGTTCTCACCCTGCACAGTGAGCTTTGAATGCATTCTCGTACTCAGTCCTTGCCTGCCACTCCAGCTGGCATTGTCCCTATTTTGCTGGTGTGGGGGTGGATGCTTCGGGCTAAGTCCAGGCCTATGGTGTGGATCCCAGAGCCTCAAAGTCCACCTGTCTCGAAAGCTCCTGTTTTGAATCACTAAATTAGGCTCCTTTCGGTTTGTATCATTGCTGGCATTAACTATGTGCTAATTTGCCACAGAACCCATTAAACAGTCAGGGAAATGTTCCTTCAGAAACCGCAGGGTTTTTTTTTACTCTCCTGAGGGTATTTAAGTCAGGTACAAATCTATAGGATATTAAATTACTACTTAATTAGAAGACTAAATTACTTCATGTAAACTATAAAAATATAGTGTCCTATCTACTCCATAACCGCATGCATTCAAAATGTCTTTTTGCTTCTTAATTGTTGATGTAATGCAAATAATAAAGTTTTAATTCAAATCTAGGTTCAAACGTATTACTATTTATGTGACTTTGGGAAAATTACTTAATTGCTCTAATCCTAAATAATTTCACCTGGCAAAATAAAGCCAGTAATAAGTTACTTCCAAGTTAAGTATTGAGAATGTCTACCCTGTGGCTAGAACACATTTGATTCTACTAAATAGATGGAATTTTTTAGTTTTTTTTCTCCTTCACATCTTAGATATTGCCCAACCTGGTAACCTAGACAGCTGGTTCTCTGGTTCCCTGCGGGAAATCTTTAGCACTCAGTGTAGAAGGCATCTCTCAGTTCTGTCTGCACGAGATCCATTCTCTCGTCTCATCACAGTGCCCTGAATTTTCACCATGGCTCTTTGCGCCTCTACACCTCTGTGTTTTTGGTACAGCCCACCCATCTCTGGGCTGCAGAACAGTGTCTAGTCGAAGGTCTGGCCAGTAACTATTCTGTTGTCTGCTGACCATGTGTTTAGCTCATGGATGAACACATAAGCTAAGCTAGGCCATCAAGGTAAACAGTGACAAACAGCACTGAGCCGAAGACTAGTGCTGGAGCACCTACAGACACTTCCATTTTCTGCTGAGATTCCAGTCACTTTGGCCACTGAGGTAGAGGAGCCTGCATGAGGATGCAGCTAACATATGGAAGAGAAGAGCAAAGGGGTGGAAAGAGATCCCTGAGGATATGGCATCACATTTGGATCAAGGAAGACCCTGATCTTTTTGTGCACATGAGATGCTAATGTTGCTTTTCCTAAGTCAGTTTGAGTCAGATGTCACTGCATTTGAATCAGATGTCACTGACTTGCAGCTGGAAGAATTCTTAGTAATATGTTCAAAAATAGGCCACCCTCATGGTCTAGTGGTAAAGGGAGCTGGATCCCAAAATGCCGATTGCATGGTTCAAATCCTGGCTCTAGTGACTTAAAAGGCATACCAGGCTCATACTTGCCCCAATTCCTGACAGGAGGAAAATATGGAAGAGAAAAGATTGGGTATGATGATGCTCTGTGTGTGTGGGGGGGTACCTTCCCCCATCCTTTGCTTTGTCTCTCTTTCTGTCTCATGTTTCCATCTCTCTCTGATGAATTCATGCACTCTCTGGAAAAAGAAAAAAAAAAGATTAAATATATTCAATTCGGGACCAGCAGTTAGCATAATGGCTATGTCGCTGGACTCCCACGTAGTTGACCACGGTTCGAATCCCGGACCCGGTGGCTTAAACTTACGCCGGGCGTGTGTGCATGCGTGCCCAAGATCCCGAGAGGAGAATGGAGGAGAAGGGATTGTGGCTATATATACATATATATATAAATATATATTCAATTCACTTACATTAAAAGTATCGTGTGAAGGACTGGTGGATATAGATTTTAATACATGCAATGAAACTAAGAGTGTTTTGCCAGTTTCCTTAGGATTTTAATTCAAGATCATTTAAAATAGTATAGTCTGTTTCCTCTAGAAGATTTTGACTCTGGTTGAGAAATCCCTCTTCACATTCTGCTGCGCGGGCTATAAGGAGTATTCATGCACAGGCGAAGTAACTGAAGGGAGAGCTGGAAATGTGGCCCAAGACACGAGGTCATTTCTTGTGCTCCAAATGCCGTGCTGTGCCACTCTGGGTAAGTCCTTGCACAGCTTTTTGCCTCCTCTGTAAAATGGGATGATATTAAAATCTACATTAAAAGCCACTTGGGGGACCAGCAGATGCATAATGGTTACAGGACTGGACTCCTACATAGTTCACCACGGTTTGAGTTCTGGACTCAGTGGCTTAAAACTCACACTGGGCACGTGTGTGTGCATTCCCAAAATCCTGAGAGGAGAATGGAAGAGAAGGGATTGTGGCATGGCCATCTCCCCTGAGAGGTGATTTCTCTCTTTCAGTCTCTCTGTCTCTCTGTCTCTCAAGCAAACACACATGCCCTATAGCAAAAATCTCTTTAAAAAAAGTCACTTGGATATCAAAAAAGGACATCATTGTTAGTGGTTTTGGAAGTTATGAGGCACTTATAAATGTCAACTACACCTATTTGTATTTGAAATGTAAAAGAAATAGAGGCTGGGGTGAAACCAAAGCTTTGCTGTCAAACCTGATCACCAGAATTAAACTAGGTTTGTTTTCCCTATTTATTGACTTTTAAATTTTAAAGTCATGTATGTTTATCATACCACACCAATAATAAAAAGATATGTAAGGAAAAAGTTCATGTCACCCCAGCAACACAATGCCATGCTCTGAAAAAATGTTGTTAGTTTCTTGTGTATCTTCCATATTCTTTTATGTTCATTCCTATATAACTACATTTTATTTTTAGTGTATTCATAAAAATATGAACATTTCTCTAATTTTTAAATGAAAATATGCATGCCTCTACTCCATGACAATAAATAGTTATATTTGACTCATATTTTTAAAAAGTAATTAGGTTTTTACTATAGGCCATGTGTACTTGTTGGAGAGAGACAGAGAAAGGCAGTGAGAGGGAAAGTGAGAAATCGCCCCCCAGGGGAGAAGGTCACACTGCAATAATTTCTCTTCCATTCTCCTCCTGGTATTTTGATCACACAAGCACATGCACCTGGCATGATTTTCAAGTCACCATCTGGGACTTAAATCATGTTCAGCCATGTGGGAGTCCCGTGCCTTACCACCAGGCCACCTGCTGACCCTTAATTCACAGTTTCGGAAACTGCTTAATGTGCATCCTTTCCACCGCCCTGCTCCTTTCCATACACTGAAGAAAGTGCTATGGACAACCCACTCTCCAGGAGCACAGATCTGTTCCCCACCTCCTGGATCATGGAGTGACTACACAGATTATTTGGACTTCTGCACAGGAGGTTTTTCTACTCTCTGCTTGCTCATTTATTCAATTAAGCATGACCAGATATAAATAAATCTGGTATGCATGATGTCTATTTTATACTTTAGGTAAGAATCTAATATCATTTTCTTTTGCCACTCAAATAGTTTAATTTGGGCCATTAGAAACTCTTTCAGTGGGTTCCTATGTCACTCCTATGTACGGCCATCATTATTATTTTTAAAAATAATTCCTTTATATCTGGAACTACATGATAACCTAGGCTTACCTTGTTTATTTCATATCCCCAGATCTAATGTCCATTATTCTCCAAGGAGCCCTCATTTCATTTATTTGAGAATGATATTAGAAGCCAAGATGGATTTGAGGAAGGCTTGTGTGGCTAGCAGATAAGAGGTGAGAAGGGTGAGACGAGTGGTTCTAGATAAGGCTGCAGAGCAGAACCATGTGGAAGATACAGAGCTTTGTGGGCCATATTGAAGTGTCCAGAGAACATTTTTGGAACAATGAGAAGCCAAAACATGGGTTAAATAGGAGAGTGACATAATGTGATTTACTTCATGACTGCTGTGTCTGCTGCATGAGAAAGTGAATAATAGGGGTTGGTGAGGGGCAAGAACAGGAAGGAAACAAGTTTTGGGGTTAATGTTGCTATCTCAGAAATGGTAGCAGCAAGGAAATAGTGAGAAGTGGTGATAAACTGTGGACTAGGAAAACAACATGGGTTGCTGATTATTTGAATGTGAGGTAAGGTCAAAAGAGAACTCAGGGATGGCCACTCAAGTCATGAAAATGAACTAATTTATTGCTGTTGGTTTTTTAAAAATAAGAATTTGTATCACAAATATACCTGGCTTTCCCAGTGACCTCAGTCATTCAATTCCCGTTTTCTAAACCCGAGTTTTCTTGTTGATAAAAAAGAGGTTGAGGGACCAGCAGATGATATAATAGTTACACCTCTGGACTCACACGCAGTTGACCCAGTTTGAGTCCCAGACCCAGCAACTTAAAATTCATGCTGGGAACGTGTGCATGTATGCCCAAAATTTCAAGAGGAGAAGGTAGGAGAAGGAATTGAGGCATGGCTGTCCCCCAGGGGATGATTACTTGCTTTCTATCTCTCTGTCTCTTTGTCTCTCTGTTGAGTGTTCATGCCCTATAGCAAAAAATCTGTCAAAAAATATAAAAAACAGGTTGGATCAATCATGCCAGAGCATCCATCAGTCTGGTGAACTTCAGAGTTGGTGAGTCTACAGAACTGAGCAAAGCCAGTCAAATATTTTAAATGATCAATACTAATAATGGATTTTGATCCAGGAATAAGGAGACAGCAAATACACGCAAACCAAGCCTTATTTCTGACACCCAGAAATTAATGCATTCTAGTGTTTAGACAGCCAAAAAACAACTCTATTCCAGTATCTCCTGAGACTCCCAAATCCTAGTACCATTTCAACAGCACCGGTCAGGTCTACTGTCTCAAATCTGTCCCTCTTCTAATTCTTAGACCCTCCCATTCCCAGAGTCCAGTCACCAACCTCCTCCCTGCCAGGGCCTTTAATGTACTAATTTCAAACTTTTCTCTCCTCCTTATTCCCCAGTAATCCATTTGAACCAGTCATATATATGGTCAGAAGAAATAGAAGGCTGAGATGACTACAAAACGAGCTCGGTCTCAGGAACAAATAACTAAGCTTCCCTATTTCATCTCATTTACATATGCAATTGCCTACAAGGAGATGCTTCCAACAACAAAATATGGACACATCAACCGCCCGAGAGCAAACCACGTCATGCCTGCAGACTGTTTGCCTTTCAGGCTGATGAGTGAGGCAGTGGGGATGAAGAGAAGATGGGACTAGCTGCAGCAGATGGCTGGAAAGGGACTCCCTCTGATGTGGCAGAATTAGAAGGAGAGTGGAGAAAAACAGAAGAATACACAGAGGCAGAAAGAAAGTGAGACATGAAAAATGAAAAAAAAAATAGTCACAGTAAATCGGACTGAGAGTGGGTATAGAGAAAACAAAAGAAAAAGAAAACTGGAGAAACATTTTATTATTATTTCTCCATTTTTTCCATATGGATGAATATCATTAATTTATTCAACAAATATACATACAATTTATTCAACAAATATATGTATTTTTCATCTGAAAAACATGGGACTAGCAGTGTTTTGAATTTTTATTCTTTTATTTAAATTTTTTAAAATATCTTTATGCTGGGAAGGGGACACTTCTTCTGCTGAAGGAGGTGACATTTAAGGATGAAGCACTTGAGTTTCTTGAGGAGAGAGTTTCAAGATAACAGCAAGTATAAATTCCCCAAGGAGAAGTGTGTTTATCATATCCAGGGAAGAGCAAGGAAGCTGGTGTGGCTGGAGAGGAATGTGTACTGAATTAGGACAGGGAGAAAGCTGGGGTAGCATCCTATAGAGACATGTAGACTGTGAGAAAAACTTGGCTCTTCCTTGAGGGAAATGGGACCCATTGGAGGATTTTGTGCAAAGGAATGGCATACTCTGACTTTCATTATTACAAGACCACTGTGCTGTGTTGACAGTGGCTATAGAAAGAAAGGTCACAAATAGGGATATCAGTTAAAAAGGACATTGCAGTAAACTAATAAAGAGGGGATACAATACACAGGGAACTCAAATGTCTTACGTGAAAAAAAAAAAAAGATTAACCCAATTAAAAGATGGGAAAATGAACTGAACAAAATATCTCTAAAGAAGACATATGAAGAGCCAAAAAGCATATGAGGAAATGCTCAACATCCCTCATCATAAGGGAGATGACAATTAAAACCACAATGAGATACCACTTAACCCATGTTAGAATGACAAAGATTAAAAATATAAAAAGTGGTAAGTGTTGGTGGGGATGTGGTGAAAAGGGAACTCTCCTACACTGTTTGGTGGTATTATAAACTGGTTCAGCCACTGTGGAGAACAATATGGAGGTTCCTTAAAGATCTACAAATAGAACTACTATTTGATCCAGCAATCCCACTTCTCAGTATCTACCCAAAGGACAGGAGAATGCTCAGTTGGAAAAGCACTTGCACATCAATGTTTATTGCAGCATTATTTATGATCACTAAGACATGGAACCAACCCAAATGTCCACAAACTGATGAATGGATTGAAAAAGTGTGGCACATATACTCTATGGAATACTACTCAGCCATAAAAAAAAAATAAGACCCTGGCATTTGATAGAAAGTGGTCAGATATGGAGAATCTATTGCTGATTGAAGCAAGCCAGGATATGAAAGAAATATATTGTAAGTATCCACTTAATACATACCAACTATCTGCACTTTATGGTAGAGATAGAAATATTGGAGGGCATAAAAGCAGGGACAATAGTTAACCATGATGAAGACTGTGGAACGGTGTGGGAGAAGAGAAGAGATTGGAGAAGGATAGCAAGAGAACAAATAGAGAGGCATGACATTAGTGGGATACAGAAATGGTTTATTACCTGTTGATGATGATGCGTACAGTATTCTCAACTGGACTGGTCTGAGAAGTATTTCATGTTGGGTAAAGTCTTTTTACAAGTAAAATGATAAATAGTGATTGAATGTTTAAAAAAATAATTGGAATAATAATAATCTGAAAAAAAGAAAAGCTATTTGATGATGATGGGGATTTTAATGTCTTTGTATTGACCGAAATGCATGGTATTCCTTCTGGAAAAAGAAATATAATACACTGAAAAGTTATATGTGATTCAATGTAATATGAACAAGGTTATGATAATGATAAATAAAAAATAATAAAAGAAAAAAGAGAGGGGATACAAACATTGAAATTGGAGAGCAGGGCTCAAGTTCAGGCTATATTTTGAAGGTGGACCCAACTGAAGGATTCAGCTGATAGAGCGGATGTAGGCCACAGTACAGAGAGAGACATTATGGGTTCAATGACCTCAGAAATAACAGTGTTAAGTGAAGTCATCAAGGTGGACTCTAATATCACTGAAGTCCTCATCAGAAGGAGAAATTTAGATAAAGACACATACAGAAGACAGATGACATGAAGAAACAGGAAGAAGGCAGCCAGCTACAAGCCAAGGGGTGAGGCTTCAGAAGAAACCCGCCCTGCCAATCTTCTAACCTTCAGAACGCTAAAATAGTAGATGTCTGTTGTTTTAGCCACTCAGTTCTTAGTACTCTGTTTTGAGCAATCCTAGAAAACTAAAGTGAGAATCAAGAATGAGTCCCAATTTTTTATTATTTTTAAGTCTTATTTATTTATTTTTAATTTGATCAAAGAGGGGAAGAGAGAGAGAGAGATGGAAAGTAGAAAGCAAGTCGTCACCAAGTCCAGGACTTGATCTGAGGTTGGCCATGTGGGAGTTCAGTGTCCCTAACCACTATGCCGCCTGCTGGCCTCCCCAGTTTTTTATTTAAAAAACTGAAAAGATGAAGTTACTACTAGCTAAGATAGGGAGGGCAGTTCAGAGGCAGATTTGGAGGGGATAGAATTATGAACTCTGCTTTGAATATGTTAAATTTGAGATGCGTATGCATTCAGATGGAAATTTTGGTATATGAATGTGGAGTAGAAGCCCATGCTAGAGAGGAAATTGGAGGGGTCATGGTTTACAGAGGAGTTTACACTCCTGAGATTGATGGGAGCACTAGAGATGTGAGTACAGACAGAGAAGAGGTCTGGCATGTGCCAAACTTAAAACTTGGTGAGCTGTGGAAGAAACAGCAAGGGAAACATAAAACTAGTGAGGCAAAACAGGAAACCCAGTGGAAAAAGTGTGTCCAGAAGAAGGGAGTGCAGAACTATATTGTACTGCTGTGTATCAGGTCAAATGAGGACGAAGAATTGACCATTGGATTAACAGTACTGAAGGTGGTTGGCATCTTTAGCATGGGCTGATTTGTCATAGAAGGGGTGAAATCTTGAAAATCTTGAAAATTAGGGTGGGTTTGAGCAAGGCTTAGAGAAAAAGAACTAGATACAAGTATAGAGGACAAATCTACCAAACAATTTTGTTGCTACTGCAAGGAGAGAAATGGAAGAGGGGAGTAGTTATAAAGGGAATCAGAAGAGGCTTATTTAAGACAGGAATTATTACATCATGCTGGCATGCTGTTGCTGTAGGAGAGAGGGGACAATTTCTGGAGCATTTTCTTTTCCATAAGTAGATAAGAGAGAGTGGGTTGCAATGTATGAGTGGTAAATTAGACTTAAACAGCAACAAGGACTCTCCTTCCATAGAAACAGGAAGGAAGAGAAAGCAGGAACAGATGCCTGTAGGTGGGATATATGTGGTGGCAATGGCTAGTTGTGTCTTTATAATTGTTTCTATTTTTCTTAGTGAAATAGGAAGGATGGAATCAGCTAAGAATGAGACTGGAAGAGAATGTACTGAAAGTTTGAGGAGAGAGGACAAGGTATGAAATGGTCACCTGGGAAATAAGAGAGTCAATAAATAGGACTGGGTAAGGTGATTGCCAGGCACCACGAAGTACACCTTGAGGCTCTTGGTCATGAATTTAAAGAAAGACCTGGGTGTGTGTTTTCTCAAGCCATGTTCAGCATGTGGGTGAAGTTGCATAATAACAACAGTGTTGGATTCAACCAGTATAGTGGTTTTACCAGAATTGCAAAACAATGATTTTAATAAGAGCCCATGGAACGTAAGCTGAATAACATGAATAAAGACATGATGAAGGATGAGTGAAAAGGGTCAGAATCAATGGAAGTTTTAAAAATTTTTCATTATTATCATAACCTTGTTTATATTATATTGAATCACATATAATTTTACAGTGTATTACATTTATTTTCCAAAAGGAATGTGATTTGAATTTGATTCCAGGAGTGTTGAAAAATTGTTGTAGGTGGAGAGGAAGTGATTTGGAAAGATGGTAGTTGTTAAGTGTGAAATGTTCAAAATGGAGATTACAGGGGAGGTTCAGTTATTGTTAATGACAAGATCCAGTATCTGACTGTGAGAGTATCTGACAGATTTGGGGTGAAAGACAAGATAATAAGTAGAAAAGTAAAAAAACATGTGAGTGACCAGACAAGATGCACAGGACAAATACTTAACAACATTACCCACCATAAAAATACAAATAAAAATCGCAATGATATACTGCTTCATACCCACTCAGAGTTGGCTGTCATAAAAAAGATATTACCAAGTATTGGGAACCAGCAGTTAGCATAATGGCTATGTTGCTGGACTCCCACGTAGTCGACCGCGGTGCGTGTCCCGGACCCGGTGGCTTAAAACTCACGCCGGGCGCGTGTGCGTGTGTGCCCAAGATCCCGAGAGGAGAATGGAGGAGAAGGGATTGCGGCGTGACCATCCCCCCTGGGGGGTGATTTCTCGCTTTCTGTCTCTATGTCTCTCTCTGTCTGTCTGGCGAGCGCACGCGCCCTACAGTGAAAATCTCTCCAAAAAAAAAAAAAAAACATATTACCAAGTATTGAAGAGGCTATGGGAGAACTAGAACCTTTATACACTGTTAGCAAGAGTATAAAATGATGCATCCACTTTGGAAAATGGTTTGGCAAAAGTTAAGCATAAATTTACCATATAACCTAGCAATTTCATTCCTATGTATCTACTCAAAGGAAATTGAAACACATGTCTCCACAAAGTCTTGCATGCGAATTTCATAGCCACATTTTTCATAATAATCAAAGAATAGAAACAGCAAATGTCCATTTATTGATGTTTGGATAAGCAAGTGTGGTATATTTATACAATAGAATATTCTACCATAACAAAGAATGTAGGGAACCAGCAGTTAGTGTAATGGCTATGTCACTGGACTCCCACGTAGTTGACCGTGGTTCGCGTCCCAGACCCGGTGGCTTAAAACTCACGCCCGGCACGTGTGCGTGCATGCCCAAGATCCCGAGAGGATAATGGAGGAGAAGGGATTGCGGCGTGACCATCCCCCCTGGGGGGTGATTTCTCGCTTTCTGTCTCTATGTCTCTCTCTGTCTGTCTGGCGAGCGCACGCGCCCTATAGCGAAAACCTCTCCAAAAAAAAAAAAAAATAACAACAAAGAATGTAGTAGTGATTCATGCTATGACATAGGTAAGTCTTGAAAGCATTCTGCTAAATGAGAAAAGCCAGACATGAAAGGCCACTTACTGTATGATTCCATTTCTATGGAATGTACAGAATAGATAAACCCATAAAGTCACAATTGATGACTGATTATCTGGGGCTGAGAGATGAGAATGAATATGACTTCAAATAGGGAGAATCATTTTGTGGGTGGTAAAATATTTTGTATTGAACTATAGTAATGGTTGTGTAACCCTAAATCTGCAAATCATTGAACTATTTGCTTGAAACAAGTGAAAATAAGAGCACACAAATTATAACTTGATAAAGCTGTTTTTGAAGGCATTTTGAAATAAAGATAAAAGAAAGAATCTGATAGACCAAAGTATTAGAGGGGAGAGCCACGTGTAGATTGATGTTACCAAGAAGAAAGACAACAGTTGTACTGGAGAGAGTGATAATGAGGAAGGTACTGACATCTTCAAGGACTGGAGGGTCAGTAATTGACTACACCAAGAAGGGGCAACAGATGGTGTGGTCTGGTGTCATGAGCACCAAACCTGGATGTTTTAGAAGAATAAGGAGGGGCAAAATTAATCACCAAAACATCCCTGTGAGGTAGACAGGGAAGTACAAATGGGAAATGTCTTGGAGTTTGGGACAGACCTGAGCCCCTGGTTGTAGATCCTCCAGTGATTGACAATAGACTCAAGCAAGTGACTGCCCTCTTGGTCCCTTATCTGTCAAATTAGAATAATAATCCATATCTACCTGGGGCTGACAGAATGCAGGAGTATTCTGAGGGTGAAACTATAGTAAAGGTATAGATATCCAACTCACATTCTATAATAGACCACAAGGAACATTTATCCTCCAATAATCTCAATTTTACTGATGGAAAACCTGCCCTTTAGAAAGATTAGGTGATTTGCCCCAAACCACACAGCATTGAAGAGAGTGAAAATATCGTAACTCTGCACACCCACTGTACTGCCTCTCCCTTGCAAAGCTGCCTCTCAGAGACAACTGTCTTCTAGGGTTGCTATTCTGATTCTGAGACAGAAATAAAAGGTAAGCATTCAATTCCCTTCAGTGCTATGAAATAATTATATCAGAGATGTGTAAAGCGTAGCATGAATGAACGTGGCACACAAAGGATACCTTGGGAAATCTGGACCAAGTCGACATTTCCATCCCACCCTGTGTCACTTGTGGCTCTTTATCTCTGCACCAGACACAATGTATTTCTTGCCATTTCTTCAGTGGGTCATGCCCAGCCATTTGCTTGTCAAACGATTATTTATTGAGTACTTTTTAAATGCCAGGCAGTATTCTGTACACTGGGGACTTAGTGAAATCTTGGAGATTCTGTTCTGCTGAAGAAAAGAGGGCAGAAGAGAGGGAGACCAAGCACCAAAACCAAGGTAAACAAAAATCACACAGCACATGTGAACAAGAATGATAGAGACACCTGATCCTTTCAGATCACCACCCAAGGGGTCTTGTTCTACCTTGTGCCACTCATGCAGGTCAAACAAAACCAGCTCAGTATAACAGAGTAGAATTTTATTATTTGATCAAAGAATGGAAGAGGTTGATCTAGTGCTCCAAAAGCATCTTCTTCCCAAATGGGAGGTAAGCAAATACTTTTACAGAGTTTGGAGCTGATATTACAAAGTGGGAGGGAACTTCATTAGCTAATATGCTAGAGACTGGAAGATCCAAGATTGAGGATTTGACATCTAGTGAGGGGCCTTGAATGAATGGCAGCTCAGAGAGAACAAGAGGGGACCAGACTCATCATTTTATAACTACACCAATAACCATTCATGAGAGTGAATCCTCATGGTCTAATCACCTTTTAAAAGTCCCACTGTTTACTACTGTCACAATGCAGTTTATTTTCAACATGAATTTTGGAGAGGATAAACATTCAGACCATAGCACTGAACACAGAGTGAGATAGCAGATGTCCACCACAAACACTACACAACTCATTAAGTCTTTAAAGAGCATCTGTCTGGTCAACATTTACTGAGCACATTCCCAGCAAGCACTGGATAATTGGAGATAAAATAATGATTATGACTAAAATGATCTCTGCTGTCCTGGAGCTTGGAGTGAAAGGAAAGATGGACACTGGACCTGAGCCATGGGCAAACCACTGTCTAAGGAATTTCAGAGGATGCCTGGGAAATGTCTGTCTCTGTTATCTAGGCAGAGATGGGATCAACTATCTGGGATTACTGACATCTTGTTGCTCATCACAGTGATGTTACTACCTCCTTGTCTATCTTGCTCATTAGACTGTGAGCCCGTGAGCCCGTGAGCCCCTGAGCTGCATGGACCCTAGAACTAACCCAGGGTCTGAGAGTTGAATGAAAGAAGGGAGGCAGAGCCTGTACATTGAAGGTAATAGATTTGATTTCAGCTTATGTCCTTACCTTTTGATAAAGTATCTTTGAAACGAAATTTTTTGGTGTGGCCATCTTGGTCCCATGTTGAAGATGAGGAGTGGGATGATAGTGCTGCAGTGTGACAGATGATGACACTGCCTTTCCAGGGAATCATCGCAGGGGGCTGAGCTGCCATCTGGTGGAGCCCTCTACTCCAACAGGGCAATGGCCACATGGTGGACCCCAGATGGTGGCTGCTCTTATGTCCAAAGCTCTTCTCCCTAGGTGGCCTACTCTCACATGTCATCAGCCTGGCCATCAAGATGGTTTTCTTGGATAAACACTAGGATATTGGCAGTGGCTATCCTTAAGTTGAGGGCTAATTGGTAATTTTTAAAAAATCTCTTGCTTATTTGAGTTCCCCTTTTTTTATTTAACTAAAAAGATGATTAGTCTCTTTCAAAATAAAGAGAGTTACATTTTGAAAGTTATGCTTAAAATCAATACTTTCTCATGTCATATATAAGCTTATTTTCTTATTTGGTCTTCTCTATGACAAGAAACTTATACTATCCCTCCATAGTGTATCTAGCACTTCAGAAAAAACCACAAGTTATGAAACTGTGCCTACTTTATAGATGAGGAAACTGAGGTTCAAAGATGTTCAGTGTTAGGTCAAATTATCACACAACCAAAAATGGCAGAACAGCCAGAAGCCTATGTCTACATCTATATCTATGCCTACGTCTACGTCTATAACTACGTCAGCCTCTAAATGCTACTGTTACTAGAGGCACTATGATTGCTGTTATGATGATGATGTTGGTGGTGAATGTGATGACAGCAGCCTCTGCTATGGAAGCACTTGCTCAACATCTAGCACTATGTTAAATGTTAAGGGCGTTGCCTGCATGAACTCTTTGAATTTCCATAAAAGTACTGTGGAGATAATAGTTTTTTCCCATTATAAAGATTAGGAAATCAAGATTTAGGAAGGTGAAATAGCTCATGCCTGGTTTCATAGCAGGTGGAGAACCAGGTGACAGCAGCCCCAGGTCTGGTCAGTAGAAGTGTCATGCTCAACTCTCACTAGTATTCAAAAGATGTGATTCAGGAGAAGAAACAAGATGGGAGAATCTGGAATGTGGTCCTTGATTTTTCTTGTCACTGAAAAATAGAGAAAAGAAGGAAAATTTGGAACTGTTGGCACTGAGGTTCAGCTCTTTCCCCCACAGCAGATCACTTGCAGCCTGAACTTGAGCTTCACCCACACAAAAGTATGCTGTTTCAATTTAGACTGAGCTGGAGGAGGAGGAGGGCACCCTTTCTCTCCACAATGCAAATGACATTTTGCATTGAAAATACAAATCCCCAATGCACCAGCTTTTGATCTTCCCCCTGCATTTAGTTTTCTTTGTTTTTATTTCCTTTAAGGCTATAAAAGAATGAGAAATTTTTGCAAAGTGGTTGCCAGCTTTTAGCATCCACCTGCTAAATTGTCCCCCACCCTCAAGGTACCCGTCTGGCTCTCTAGCAGGTGTAGACTGCAGCTGTAGCAGATTTTACCCAGCATGAGACAGATGGAGGGGTACAGCCAGCATAGTGGGATACATTTTTTAAAAATACATGATCAGACCTTCATCAAGGCCTGGTAGTGAAATTCGGCACTGATAGAAAGCATGCCAAGTTGGCAGGTGTTTGAGTCTACTGCATTGTGTGAGCAATAGTGGGATTCCTTTTTTATGGGGGAAGGCAGTGAGGGTTGGCATTCCCTGTAGCAAGGCAGATCATTTTGCATATGAGTTGTTTTGAAGTAACCACAGTCATTATCTGCTTGGAGAAGCATTGCAGTGCAGGTGTGGGAGTGAGAGGAAATGGCATGGAAATCTTAGAGACCTGGGATGGCCGAAGCTCCTCTCCCTCTTTTCTTAGTTGTACGACTTAGGCAAGCCAAGCCTCTCTATGAGATTTAACTTTCTCATCTTCAAAATGGAGGATGGTGTGGCAGAGCTGCTACCTCTCCCCAAAGGTTCACATGCTTCCCTACTTTCCCCATAGCCTTGCAGAAGTAGGTCCCATGACTAACCCTGTACATGAAGGGCATATGTACACACACTGACACACATTTATAGCATGTTATATGTATCCCATTAACTATACATACACACATGCACACACACACACAGAGAACTTAAAGAATTGGCCTGCTTTGTTATGGAGGCTAGCTATCTGGAGATTCCAGTGAGAGATGACATCACTGTCTTGAGTGTACAGGCTGAAAATTAGGCAAAATGTTTATGTTAAGTCTGGTGCAGAAATCCTTCTCCTTTGGGGAACCTCAGTCTTTGCTCTGAAGCCTTAAACTGATTGGATGAGGCCCACACACATTGTGGAAGTGAGTGTGTTAGTTAATATTAAATAATTGCAACCATTCATCACATCCACAAAAATACCTTCACAGGAACATCTAGTCTACTGTTTGACCAAATAATTGGGCACCATGGACTTGCCAAGTCAACACATAAAATTCACCATTACGCTTGTCTGGAGAGATTTACTAAAACAAGCAATGTAAAATTGCCAGGGACAGTAGAGGGCACAGAGTAAGTTTCCCAATGATGGTATTTCCTATCACTGCTTACTTATTACCACTGTGAGTGCTTCTATTTTTCCCCCCCTTTCTCTGTTTTTGACGCTTTGCTTTTCCTTTTTGTGTCATTTCTATTTCCAAGAAGAAATTATCACAATGCCAACTGACCAGAGGGAAATTCATCTAAATAATTGAAAATTCTAGTTTGTAAATATTTTCCAAAAAATGCATGTATATATATATTTTGGCTCTTAAGTATCTTTGACACTTGCAATTACATGCTTAGCTGGTTCTCTGTCTGCTGTGACATCTGTTCTTTGACAGCAACATCATATTTCCTTCAAAAAAAATTCTGATTTCTAGCAAGTGCCAGGTAATTATCAGGTAATCAATAATTGTAATGATTGATTGGATTTGTAGATAGATGGATGGATGAATAAACTAGAACAAATAAAAATTATCTGTGCTTTCTAGAGCAACAAAATAATATTTCTAGTAAAAATCTATAGCATACCTTTACAACTAATAAGTTAAAAATGATATTCATGTCAGCAAATACGGAATCTCTACCATGTATTGAGTACACATTTTGGTTAAGTAGATATTATGGACTGAATTTTGTATCATCTCAAAGTGTATATGTTGAAGCCCTAATCCCCATAGTGACCATGTTTGGAGGTAGGGCATTTGGAAAAATGATTATGGCGCAGGGTGAGCATCCCATGAATGGGATGAATGTCCTTACAGGAAGAGGGGATCACACTGGACCCCTCTCCCTCTACCATGTGACAACACAAGGAGAAGATGGCTCTCTGCAGACCAGGAAGAGGGCCTCGCCAGACACCAAACTGTCCAGTGTTTTGATCTTGGACTTCCTAGCCTTCAGAGCTGTGAAAAATAAATGTTTGTTTAAGCCACCTAGCCTATCGTATTTGTGTTATTGCAGCCATAACTGACTACGATGAGGGGTGAATAGGAACCCTCTACATTCCTTCAGCACTGCTCAGCAGTATGACTATTTGGTACTTGTCCTCATTGCTTTATGTAGTGCCTGTTTTTCTAATTAGAGAGGACGTTTCCTGAAGTTAGGTGGCATCAAACCTTAGAACACCTTGTACCTGGGTCAATTTTGGTAGTATGTCTCCCCCCCCCACTTCACTCCTAAAAAAGATGGTTGAATATTTAAAGCTGAGTTATTCTCTACTTACTTTTATTCTCTACTTATTTTACACTTTTGTTTACTTTCACAATCTTGGGGAGATGCAAAGTGTGCCGAGTTTGGAAGCTGGAAAAACATGCAGTAGGGCTAAATCTGTATAGAAAACACAGTTCTTTCCTAAACACATAATATCCTGGCTACATTTTTTACATTATTTTTATTTTATTGAGGTTTTTGCTTTCTAAGCACTCATTTTAAAGTTGATTTTTTTCATCTTTTTCATAAGAGACAGAGAGACAGACACTCCCAACAAGGTCCCCATGCCATGACCCAACCACTGGCACAGATCACAAGTGTGCATGTGCCCAGTATGTTTAGGGAGGTCCTGGGACATAAACCCAGGAAGTTTTCCATGTGGGTCTAGTTGAGTCACTGCTATTAAAAGGAAAAACTCAAGCATTTATTTCTTATAATAATGGAATTACTAGGCAATCTAATGACAGGTATTTCTCTATAGAGACATTCCCCAACAAATGGACGAAGAAGACATGCTCAAATCAAAATATCATTATTTTTCAGCCTCTAATGAATTAAAGATCTAAGCATTGAGCAGAAAGGCAACTGACAACACACACACACATACACACACACACACAATGTCCCTCTTGATGAAGAATATGATACTCTCCAAGAAGTAGGTGTCCCTCCAAATACTCAAAATTAAAAATGATTAAGTCTATAGTCAACTACCAGTCAGCAGAGAATACAGAAAACTGAGGTAAGCATTAAAGTTTAGCACAAGAATGCAACCAGTGCTGTTCCTATTGAGGAAGCTCTGCATGCAAATGATCCAGCTTCCAAAGAAACAGACTTCAAAGACTGGAAAAGAAGGAAGTATGGAAGAAAACCTATGTCTTAAGAGAGTCCTAAATGACAAATTAAATAAGCAAAAGCATGGAAAGGCTACACTGTAGTATTTAGGAATGTGCACCAGTAGTAAAATCACAGAGCCAGGTCCATAGGTGATTACCATAAAACTCATGATCACAGTTATTCTGAAGGTAGGGGTTAGGGAAAGGAGAACCTGGAGGGCTTCCAGTGTAGTTAGCAAGGTTTTATCTCTTTTTTTGTTTGGTTCTTAAAAGAGCATTTGCCTTATAGTAACTTGTTAATAATACATTTGTTTTACACTTTTTTTTTGTATGTAAGGTAGCTTAATAATACATGTTTTAAAATATGACTGTTCTTATTTCAAGCTGGAAGGACCCTTCATAAACATGATGTAAGTGCAGGAATCTCATTTGTCTTCTTCACTGTCATATGCTCACTGCCTAGATTTGTTCTTGACATGTGGTAAAAACACAATAAACATTTATTTAAAAAAAGAAAAAAATGAGGGGCAAGCAGGTAGCACGGTGGCTAAGGTGCTGGACTCCCACATGGTCACCTACAGTTCAAGAATGGGACCTAGTGGCTTGAAAATTATGCCAGGCACACATGTATCCATATGTGCCCAAAATCCCAGGAGAAGAATGAAGGAGAAAGGATTACAGCATAGCCATTCCCCCCGGGGAGGAGGGATGATTTCTCACTTTCCCTCTCACTGTTTCTCTCTCTTTCTGGCAAGTACATGCACCCTATGGCAAAAATGTAATAAATAAATAAAACTGTAGAGTCAATACACATAAAGTCATATTTTAATTATCATTAAAAATGTCCACAAACTTGCAAATTTCTAAGGAGTATATTTTAGATCTCTGGGAATTTGTTTTATACTGAAGATATGGTCCTTTATAACATGCTGCATGCTTTTAGGGATGCTGTGACAAACAGAATTCTCAGAGAAGTTAAGTTGACCATTATCATGTGATGACATCCAATGATGCATGTGAGTCTTTCTGGGTGCACACACATCAGCAATCAGGCCCTGGACACCTCTGTAACAGGTGGATCTGCAGGAGTTTAAGCCTAAAATATCTGCTGTAAATAATAGGACTTAGGATCAGCCATGTGACTGGAGGCCACCACTAGGGACATGTCATAAAACCATTTTGTACACCAGCATATTTCATAAGGGGAAAGATTCTTTGAGCTATCTATACTGTGCTAGCATAGGCTTGGCAGCTTAAAACACACATTTAATAACTCATTTTCTTGGATCAGGACCACAATTTAACTGTGTTCTTTCCAAGGCTGCAAAGTAGGTGTTGTCCAGAGTTGGGCTCTCATCTGAAGAATCAGTTGCAAAAGGACCTTACTCATTGACTGTCCACTCTCTCCACTCCTTTATAGTACTGGAAATCCTAGCCAATGTGATCATACAAGAGAATGAAATAAAAGGCATTCTTGGGAAAGAAGAATTGAAATTATCTTTGTTTGCAGATAACATCATTGTGTACATAGAAGACCCAACAGTAT